CCCCCCCCCCCCAGGAGGTGCCCCAGCAGCCCCGGTTCCCCACTTGGAGGCTCCCTCTCCCCTCGTTTCTTACAGACCTCCACACACAGGCTGCAGTTGAGGAAAGTGCTCCATCCTTCCTCCCAGCTCCGGTGTGCTGACCCCATCCCTTCCTGACGTCCTACCCACAGAGATGAGATCCATCAGGCCAGTCGCTCTCCCCTAGGGGTGGTCTCGTTCCCCGGAGACATCTTTGTCTAACATGCCTGGGGCAGGTGTTACTGGCCCCTCCTACAAGGCACAGAAAAGCCCTCCCACCGCCACAACAGAGAATTATCTATCCCCGGATGTCAACAGGGCAGAGGTTAAGACACCATGATTTAGGTTAACAAGGTCTTCTCTTAAAATGCAAACATTTCTGGTAAGTTAACCATCCACACCTTAGCATAAAATAGTGCAAATACGTGGATTTTTTTTCTCCCTAAGGCTCCTAACAATACCCAAGCCAAGCGATGAGCATTTTCATGGGAAAGGAGGCAGGAATCTGGGAGGGGTTGGAAAGGAGGGCGCCCCGCCAAGGGCTTTGGGCAGACGAGCATCTGTGTGGTGGTCCACACAGGTCGGGCTCATCATCAGCTCGTGGGCAGAGCGTAGCACAGTAGCCCCGCACCTTCCACGATGCTCTCTTCTAGCCTGATGACAAAACACTACTCTCACCCCATCACAGAACGATGGAGTCTTTGCGGTTTCACAGTTCGGAGGCTTAATTTACATGTGTGACTTTGGGCAAGTTGCTGAACCTCTCTGTACCACGGTTCCTCAGCCTGTAAATGGGGCCTAATAACAGTACACACATCACAGGGTTGTTACGACCGTGAGATGAGTTAAGGGTTGTAAAGCATTTAGACCGAGCCTGGCACGAGGGAGACTTCTATCAGCATCAAAGGAAACACAAATGAATCCGTCCCAGGGCGGGCTCTGAGTGCATTGAATCTACAGCGTGTACCGCCTTCCTCCACCAAGACGAAGACCGTGGGTGTCGGGAGACACACAGAGTGAAGACAGGGAGGAGACAGGGCACCCAAGGCACCCAACGTCCCGGGAGCACCCCCACCCCAGCAGAGACGGCCGCAGCCGTCCGGGAAAGCTGGGGGACACGGGAGAGCCATTTTACCCAGACGGCAGCCCTAAGGATGCGACAGCGGCCGTGCGGGCCCCACCCGCTCTGGGGAGCAAGAGGTTTGCTCAAAGGCCAGGAGGTGAACGGAGACATTTTACAACCCCCCACCACGGGACCCCTCTGCGCCACCTCCCCTCCCTCCGCGCGCCCCCGGCTCCCCGTTTGGTTCAGCGCTGCCCTACACCGTGCAGGCAGCTGAGCCCTGGAACCCAGGGGCCCCGGCCCGCCTGACAGGCGCAGTTTCGAGTGGCGGCTGGCTGTCGCCAGATCCCAGGGTGGGCTCTCCGGGCCAGGCACCCCACCAGGGCCATCGGGCACTGTGTGCCAGCCCACAGCCCCCAAGCCCCCTCCTGGGAGCCTGGGGGAACAAAGCTCCCCTTCCAACCAGAGCTGCCAGCATCGACCCCTCCGAGTATCTTCAGGGCCACAGCCCAGAGACTGACTGGCACTCGCCCTCACTGACCCCTCCGGGCCCACCCACTCTGCCCAAGGTGGACACAGGATAAGGAGAACCCAGATGCCGTCACCTCCCCCAACCCTTGCTTTGGCCCCCACTCAGACCCAGTCCGGGCCCAGACCCTGCTGTGATGAGGCTGATTGGGCCTCCTTGCTGGCCGCCACCACGGCCCGACTCCCGGCCCACGAGCCCGTGTCTGGGCTGGTCTTGACTCGAGGCCCCCTCCACCCTCTTTCACCTCCTCCCCCGCTGACCCCCACCGTGAGACACCAGGAGCAGCAAGTGAGGCCAGGAAAGGAGCCGGCACCCTGAATCTCCTACTGACACCGTGCTCCGCTCCCACGGACTCACCCCAGCGGCATTGGGAGCAACCGAGACATCGTACCCCTGACGGTGCGCCCGCCCCCGCTAGCTTCTCCCCGCAGGGCTATGGGACAGAGAGGACAGAGAGGACAGAGAGGTCCAGCAAGGCCTGGACCCGGCCTCCCACAGATGCCTCCCAGGAGCTCAGCTCTGACTCTGCAGCCTGCCAGCGGCACAGGAAGGGCCGGGACACGTGCTCGTGTGTGCACGCACATCACCTACACCCTCAGGCACTTGCACACACACGTGCACACACACACCGCACCAGCTCCCGAGGGCTCCGCGACGCCCACCGAGTTCTCCCCACACCCCACGGAGCCACACACGGATGCGCAGAGTTCCACATCCGGGTCACGCACAGGAACGCAGAGCCCACACTGGGAGCGCACCAGGGGCACTCCCGTGGTCCCACTCTGAGCCACACTAGGGCACCCAGGAGGGGACTCACCCACGGCCACCCACAAGACGGTGGCTCTCTTGTGAGAAACCCCAAAATCCCATTGTTGGGGTCTGAAACTGCTGCTCAGACCCAAAACTGTCACTGCCAGGGCTACCCTGGACCCTGGGGGACGGTGAGAACACGCTTTCTGCTTTGAGGGGAGGGCGCCAGGAGCCCCGGGCAGACAAGGGCAGGAGACCGATCAGATCTGGCCAGCTCAGCAGGACCCCACAGACTCATGAATTTTTCAGAGGCACCCAAAGTGAAGAGCGAAGCTGCCAATGGGGTCCCGGGGGTCCTGCTTTAAATTATTCACAGCCGAGCAAGGGTGGTAGCATCTGGCCCCAAGGCCCCGACTTCAGGTGTAGCCTCCCTGAGCCCCGGCCGGAGCCAGCCCTGTGGCCGGCAGGCAGGGCACCTCCCTGGGCCTCCACATCTTCCTCGGCAGCCCAGGCACACGAGCCCTTTGTGAGTGCCACTCCGTGTCCCCGGCTTGGGCCCCCAGGCCTCAGGTTGTGGCCCCCCCCCCACTCCGGACGGCAACGTAGGGCTGTGGTGCCCAGCTGCCCACGGGGCTCCTCAAGCTGACACCCTACCCCCCAAGCCTGGTGGACCCTGCCCCTTACCCTGCTCAGCAGCCCCTGCTTGCGGTAGGAAAGGGCCCCCCCACCACTGGGGCAAAGGAAGGCCCCCCAGCTCCCTCCACATCCCAAGCCTGCACCCCCACCTGACTCCTGCAGGCCACCGCCATGGCTCCAGCGGCCACTCCGGAGCTGGACAGCGGCAGAGACAGGAGGGGAGCCCACCGGCCGCACCTGCGAACACGCACTTAGTGCCGCTCATTCAGACACCTGCTCTGTCCCTGGCGCCTTGCTACCTGCAATGCTACTGAGACCAGGGGCTGTCAAAGCTCAGTCCGGGCCCCTCAGGTCCCAAGAACCTTCTAGAAGGCCCTAGAGGTCGAAACTGCTTCCATAGTCCTATCAAGACCTTTTCTCTGTCACTACTGTTCTCTCTTATATGTGGAGTTTTCCGGAGGCCGTGACGTGTGATGACGCCACACGTTTGTCACTATGTGACGGGGTGAGAACCGAGGGCCAGAGTGTCACACGAGAGGCTGTGCGAGTCCCCCCACCCCAGCCCTCCCCTGTGACGGGGGCTCATCTCCCTGCAGTGTCTCAAGCCCGAGGTGTGGCCAGTGCCCACCGGACCCCAGAAACCCACCTTCCGAGTGTGGGCGGCTCCAGGAACAGCCTGGGCACTTCCCGCCGTCCTGCTGGCAGGGTGCTGGAGGCAGGGGAGCCCCCTTGCTGGACCCTGGGGAACATCCCGGGGAGGCGTGCTGCCCCTGTGGAGGCCCAGAGCCACCGCACCCCGCCGGGCTGAGGCCCCAGGTTTCTGCCTCCTCCAGCCACGATCCCCTGCCCGTCCTGTGGGCCATACGCTGAGCCTGGTACCAGGCAGGGGTGCTTCAAGGCCCAGAGCCCTGCCAGGCTCCAGATCCGGGCGCTTGGACCTTCCTGGGCCTGCCTCCATCACCTCACCTGGGGCCAGCAGAGGGGCTGTGAGCACAGACCTCTGGTGGGCAGGACCTGACCTCGTCCCACCTGAAGTGTCTAGGTGACCAGGACTCCCAGAGGGAGCCAGGTGGCGACAGCTTGGGACAGGAGGGCAGGGGCCACTACAGACCATGAAGTGCTTTCACCCCAGTGGGGCTTTCTTTCACTCGTACCCTGTCCCCGGCTCACAGCTTTCTTCGACTTGACAGCCTCCTGGAGCAGACATATTGCAGGGTCAGCGGGTCCCCCACTGGTGGCGGTAGCCTGCATCAGGAGGCACCTGGTCTCCCAAGGTCGCAGACAAAACAGACAGTCCAGTTTGAATCTCAGATAAAGAACAAGTACTTTTCTGGTGTGCCACTGCCCGGGACACAGACTGGGAACCGCACTCTGCCTGGCTACTCGGCCCTTCCTTCTCATCACACGCTGTTCATGCGCCTTCCTGAGGCCCATGGTCACTTTGGGACAGGTGGGGACACACAGCGGCCCCTCCGCGGCCCATCTCTCCTGGCTGGCAGCCTCACCCAGTGTGGTGGCCTGCCTGTGCCCCCGCAGGTTTCCCAATCCCGGGAACCTTGATGGGGCCTGTGTGGCCAGAAAGGGTCCTGCGGAAGTGACTAAATCCCGGACCTCAAGATGAGGAGACTAGCCCGGACTATCGTGTAAGCCAACTACATGCACCCTTATAAGAGGAGACGGAGAGAGATCTGACACACAGAAGGGATGCCACGTGACCATGGATGGGGCAGACATTGGAGGGACGCAGCCACAAGCCAAGCCACTTTTGGAGCCACCGGAAGCTGCGAGAGGTGAGGAACAGACCCTCCCTTAGAGCCTCTGGGGTGAACACAGCCCTGCCAAGGCCTGAATTTTGTCCCACTGGTGGTGACTTTGGCCGGTAAGAGAGGACACCTCTGTCATTTTAAGCCACCGGTTTGAGGTGATTTGTTGCAGTGACCCTAGGAGACTCACGTGGTTGGCCTGCTGCCCACCCTGGAGGGGAAGCCCCCAGCCCATTCCCCACCACAGGCAACGGCGTCTGCACTGTGAGCCTGGGTGACCCAGCTGCCCACCCCCACCCCCACCCCGAGCTCCTTCTGCAACACCAACACCGGGCACAGGCTGGGACTGCTTTCCTGGAGCAGGGATGGCGGGGCAGGGGTGGGCCTGCCATCCCCCCCCCCCCCCCCCCCCCGACCCAAAAAGGGGGGGTTTTCTCGGGGTTTTTGCTCGGCTGGAGCTCCTGGGTGAGGCGAGGGCTCAGCTGAGGAGCCGGGAGCGGGATGTAGGTGGTGGTGCCCCTCCAGCCACAGGCGACTGGCTGGGGAGGGGAGTGAGACGCGGGGGCCAGTGTGCCTGACAATCACTGGTGGGGGAGGAGCCCTCAGCTCTCAGAGAGACCCTCAAAACAGCCCCCTTCTGTGGATCCCAAGTGACTGATTGTGCTGAATGCCCCCAGGAGGGCATTCCAAAACTCGCCCCAGCCAGACCAGCTGCACTTCGGATCGGGCCTCCAGTACTGGGCCACAGCGTGTGTGGGGACCCCCGCCCCACCACCCACCCTGGGTAAACGCGGGAGGCCATCTGGGCCGGAAGGAAGGGGCTAGGGGAGAGCGCAGGGCGGCCCCCGCCCACCCCACCCCACCCAGAAGCAGGCGCACACGGCTCTGGGGTCGCTCAGTTTATTGGTAAAACGGGCACTGAGCGCGGCGAAGTCTGGGCGCGGAAGCGGGGGCGGCGGGGGCGCTTTTCCTCTTAAAGAACTTCCACTGGACCTTGATGGCGAGCATCCAGTCGCTGACCGAGAGCCTCTTACA